AAGAAAAATGTAGAAGACATTAGTTAAAGAAAACCTCTAAAATCCTAACAAAATTAAGAAGAATTGCATACTCGGATTAATCGTCTCGAAATAAACCTGAAAAAAATATAACCATTAAAAAGGGCATGTTGAAGTTTGGTGATGCTACATGAAAAATTGTAACATAAAAACTTAAAAAATATCAATAAATGTCAAAAGGAATACATACACACATTAGTTTTCTCAAAGTATACTTGAAAAAGATAACCATTACAAAAATATGTTGAAATTTGTTGAGACTACTTCATGGTTTGTAATACTTTCAAGATTCTATCATCAGACGATTAATCGAACCATTGTTGCCATGAAAACTCTAAAAGTGTTGTAAAAAACAAACTCTCCGTTTCATTGAGAAAACTTAGGAAAATCATAGAAGGGAAAAGTAAAAAAAAACAAAATTCTAAAATCCAAAAAAAAAATAGAAAGGAACGCATACCTGAATTGGTCTTCTCGAAATAAATTTGAAAATAGATTTGGTGAAAAATAACAATTTATAAAATGAAAAACAAATCAAGTGATAGAGATGGAGAAAAAAGAAATGAAAACAAATCAAGTGATGGAGATGGAAAAAAAGAGATTGAATGATGAACAATTTATGAAAAAGAGTTAGAGAAAATGAAAATATTGTGTTAAATGCAAACATAAATGATAATCAATGTTTATAGAAATTAGAATGTGAAATTAAAAAAAGATTAAAGGAGGATGAATGAAAAAAAAGATAAATAAGTTTCCAACCCTTAGGAGAAGCCAAGTCACCAACCTTGGTTTCTCCTTTAATATATATATAGATTATAAAGAACTCTTAAAAATTATTTTTTATGTATGAAATATTGTTTATTGATATATTTTATTTAAAATTCAAGATTACAAGTAATTTTACGTAAATACAACTTATTAAAACTATATTTTTAAATTCATATAAGTAACTGCAAATAAACATAATCAAATATAAGATAAACATCTATTTTGAATATAGAAAATTTAAAATATAATTAAAGTAATATTGAGTTCTAACAGAATATTTAATTCTTATTTTTATAAAAAATTGTATTGTTAAACCAAAAATAAATTACTTTGTTGTTAAATCTAAATTAAATTATAATAAAATTTTGAATTAAAAAAATTACACCAAAAAACGAAAAATACTAAATAGTTAATTTAATGCTAATATCGATTTTTTTTTTCCTTCAAATTTTTATGTTGTTTTCAAATTTATATTTCATTCAAAAATAATAACATCATCGTTTTCTCAAAACCACATAAAATTATATTATATCGATAAAGACAAAGAATAAAACTAAACATTAAAATCGAGATTTATCTCACTGCATTGCGCAAATATCTTTCTATTTTTTTTTAATACATAGATGTATTTAAAAATCTCCGAAATTCTCTAAAAATACAGCCATTAAAAATAGTGGATCCAGTGAACACTAAAAAAATTAACTTTAATCACACACTGAAAAATAAGAACATTTTTAATATTATAATAATAATAAAATAATATATGCATTTATAAAAAAATTGATATTATACATATAAATTATAAAAACGTAATATTATATCGATAAGAGTTCAACTTTATTGACCTTCAAATATATAGATCAACTTTAAAGACCTCTATAAATTTTAGTGTTATAGGGGTCGTTTTTACTAAATGTTTACTTGGTAAATGCTTACCAAATAAATTTCCTTACCGGATGAACATTATAAGGGCTAAGAATCTTACCGGGTAAGAGCGATGAGAATGATGGAGAGTCTTACCCGATAAGTGATGATTACGACTCTTACCCAGGTAAGCGCTTACCCGGTAAATTGTTGCATTCAATACATTTTGATGTACTAAAATCTTACTCATCAAAATAAATTATACTATTGACTCATATAGCTAAACACTTATCGGATAAGCATTTGAGTAAATAACCCCTTACGGTTTGGTTGGAGGTAAAAAACACCTTCATTTTTATGTTTTTAATGTTGGGTTGAAATTACCCTAAAATAGAGATTTTGGGATTTTTGCTCTAACATATTTCTCAAAACCTTCTCCAAAATGAAAAAAGTAGGAAAGAGACTGAGAAAATTCTCCAAATTTGAAGAACTCTCAAAAAATAATTACATAAGAATAAGTTATTTTTTATTCTTCCTATCAACGAGAAATGATATTTTATGAAAGGTACTGGATTTAATAATATAATTCATATTGTAATCTTCAAAATAAATAAGTTGTTAAAGATGAATAAATATTTTTTTTCAAGATTTTGACTTTTGATTCTTTATTGTGGAGAATTTATTGGAAGAAATGAAAGCAATTCTCTTGGGAAATTAACCACAAGGGTGGTGCCTAATTGGTTTGAGTTTGGCTCCAAAGGTCAAAAGTACCAGGAGGTCGCAGATTCAAATCTAAGGAGGAATAAAAATCCCCTTGTGGCCATGGGGGTTCAAATGCGGTGACTTCGAGAAATCTGCAAAGCAGGTCGTCGCCCTTGGATTAGTCAGCTCGCATAGCGGGTTGGATATCTAGGTTAATCAAAAAAAATCTCTTTGAAAATTTTGACTTTCAACATTCTTTTTGGAGAATCTGTTGGAGATGCGCTTACGTATTTATCGATTACCAATCATTTTAATATGTCCAGTTGGGTTGACAGTAATCAATTTTTTACCCAAATATTATTTCATAAACTTTGTTTTTACGATAAATGTATATTACGTATTTAATATTCAGCAACATAAGACTTGCATTTGTTAGTCTTATTAAGCCATACTATGTACTGTAAAATAATTGTAGGCGTTCTAAGAGACCAGTTTTATTATAGTAAACATTAGTTAATCATTTTTATACTGTATTTTGAACTTTATTTTTTAATATTAATTAATTTGAGTTAAATCAATAAAAAAAATCTTTTTAGGTATTGTGGTTCGGATTAGCATGTGAAAGCTTATATGGATTGCTTGACTTTTAGCTTTGAACGATATCACAAAGTGTAGAATTATCTTATAAAATATACAATGAATATATTCTACGTATTATAAAGTTAGAATTACAGAAAGGCGATTAGAATTTTTAAATCATATTCATTGACCAAGTTGGACAAGGATCGGACATAATCCAATTTAAAAAATGTATGATCAAGATGGTTCGAGAAAAGCCAAAATTGGTTCAAATTTGGCATAATAAAAACTGAATCCTGAGTAAATTCAGTCCGGAAAAGCATAGTTTGGTCTGCTTAAAGAAAAAGAGAAAAAAAAAATGAAATTAACGAATTTAAAAAAGAATTGAATCGCAGAATCGGTCTTTATCCGGTTCAGGTCTGACCCTGTTCCGTCTTTATTTGGAAAGAAGATTTGCATTTATCTTATCTGACTCAAAGAAACTAAGGCTATAAAGGGTCGGTGGTCCAACCTGTTTCCAGACTAATGACGTCATGATCAGTCTTTATCTAGCTCGATTCATCGAACCCAATTCAAATGCTCTATGTTCATTGAACGTGTAAGTCTTGTAGAAGTTTTAGATCCTTCTCGTAGACCGTCACATTAGGATAACTTATTTCAGCCATGTTTGTCAACCAAAAAACCTCTTAAAAAAGTTGAAGCAAATTAGTAAACCCTAAAAAAAAAAGCAAAATGGCAGTAAATATTTATTCGCCCCACTCTATAAAAAAGCAAGAAAAAATTAATTTAATTAAGATAATTCCAAAAACATTTTATATGTATTACTGTAACTTTCAGATATATTTTTAATAAATTATGATTATTATAATATTTACATTATGTTGATCACGACTCCTCAACTAATCAACAATAACTCACGAACAATATTCTTTTTGCATTTCAAAAGTTGCAGTTATCCTAAGTACGAAGAATACCAGTGGACTTTTCAATTGCTAAAAAACTCTTGTCGAGTCTATTTTAAATTTCAATGATTTGGGAATTTAAGCCGTTATTATTAATCCTCCGTCATACTTCATCACATATCCGAGGTTGTTTTCACTACGTCTATTTTTATGAGTGTTCATGACCGTAGTACGAATCGAGCTAGGGGTTGTTTACTTGCGGCTTAATTAAGCTTATTGGCCTATTTGGCTTATTCATACATCTCATTTGGGTTATTTACTTACGGCTTATTCGCACAGAACCATGGCTTAATCGCACAGATTGAAATGGTGTGTTGTTCTCATTCAGTCACAAAAATGACACTCCTACCCTTTTTTTTAAAACATCGCCTCCTTCTCATATGAGACACACCATCTTCGGCCTCTTTTATGATTTTTTGTTTTGAAGTTCGAATAATTAATATTGGGAGGTAAATCGGTCATTTATGTTATTCAGACTGTTGGTTAAGATAAAAAAATAAACAACAACACTCATTTGTCTAGA